GTGGTACTGTGTGCGGTGGTAGCATGGGGCTTTGCGCGGTGGTAGTGCGGAGTGATGGAATGGTGTTTGACGACGGTGGTGGTGTTTGACGGCGGTACTGTTTTCGACATCGTGGTGGTGGTGCTGTGGTGGAGGTGTGCGATGCAGTCCGGTGGTTGGGTGAGTGGTGCGATGGTGATACGGTGCTGTGGGCAATGGTGGTACGGTGGAGGTGTGCAGTGCTGTGCTGTGTAGTGATGGTGTTTGACGACGATCTATTGTTAGCCCAAGAATAACTAACCAAGAGGGGGTGAATTGGTTTTTAAAACTTTTTCGAAAAATTAATCTAAATTCAAGCAAGTAAAGACTAAATATATTAATTCAAATAGTAAGCACAAATATAAATGAGATAAGAAAAAGGGAGAGATGATGCAAAAGATATATTTGTNTTCAAATAGTAAGCACAAATATAAAAACGATAAGTAAAAGGGAGAGATGGTGCAAACGATATATTTGTGGAGGTTCGATCCAAAACAATGATCTACGTCCCCCCGTTACCAAGCTCTCCGGCACGAGCAATGTCTTTTCACTATGTTGATCGACTTATGGTGCAATCCAACCATTTACAACGCTTTTGGTGACTTACAAATAAAGAGCACCAATCCTTATACAATGTTGAGCTTTACGGGACCTCAACACGACCCACACTATTGAGCTTTACGGGACTTCAATATGACACATACGGTGACTTACAACAAAGAGTACCGATCCTTATACAATGTTGATCTTTAAGGGACTTCAACACGACTCACACTTTATCAAAGTGATTTTACAATGAAATTCCTCTCTTGATAAATAATACAAACAAATTAAGTACTAAGAGAGATTAACACTTCAATGAATAGTAATAAATGACAACTCAAATGTTAGATGAAAAATTTTGATGAATATGACGATTTTACAAGTTTAGTTCATTCAATTAAAATTTCAATATGAAATAGAAGAATAAAAGTTTATGAATGTAAGCGTAAAAATCTTCTTCAAAAATATATCTCTTTCAAAATTGATATAGTTAAATTGAGCACAAAGAGAAATGAAAAATTTTGATAAGAGAAATGATTCAAAAGATTTGATCCAATAATCAAAGTTTTTGCGATGTAAAAATAAATGAAATGAATGTAAAAATGTAAACTCAAATGAATATCAATTAAATGTTCTCAAAGTTCTTATAATAAATGAGAAGTGAGTTGATATTTATATAAGTGAAAAAGCCAAACTTTCTGTCAAACCGGATGACCGGCCCGGTCGACCGTCAATTTTCGGATGACCAATATAACTGTTTGTACAGTCAGAACGGTAAAAAATCTAACCATTGGAGACGTCCGGTCGACCGTTAGTCAATTTTTTTTATTATTTTTTTTGAGATATGATATAAGTTCGAGTACATTTTGAAAGATCAATCTTACTTTTAATCAAAAATATTTTATGCAAGTGATATGAAAATAACTATTCGCGCACAAAATGATTTTTGAGCTTTTGTCATTAATTACTAAAGATCAAAGCGTTATACTTTTACATATGATCTTGAAAACATAGTTTTTGCTCTTGTTTCGAAATTTCTTTCATGTTTGATTCTTAAACTCTTGATCTTGTTCTTCTTCATGAGCCCGATTTGATAGTCTTGATTTTGATCCCTTAACCTCACATCTCGAATGATTTGACTTGAATGCTTAACTTTCACTTTAATCTTCATTTCGAGTCCAATTTATGATATGTTGATTTTGGAAATATTGGATTGATTTTAACATTTATCATCACTCAAAATCAATTGTTAGAAATAATATTAATCTTATTTGTTATAATTAAAACATTAAGAATGAAATCAACCATAGGTCAACAGCTGTGTGCGGTGTCGTGGCAGGGGCGGTGGTCGTGGGTGCGATGAGATAGGGTGGGTGTCTGTGACCAATTATTTGGTTGATTGTGACAAATAATTTGTTAATTTTTGACAAATAAATAATATGTAACTTAAAAATTGTGGCTGTGACTCACAATTTATTAAGTTGTAATCGAATCGTGACCAATAAAAGTTTTGATTTTGTCATTGATGAATAATCCGTGACCCATAAAATTTTTTAATTCGTGATCGGAAAAAAACATGTGACGTATAAAATTCTTGGTTTGTGACCAAAATATAAGTCGTGATCAGTAATTTGATAAGTTGTGATCGAGAAATTAATTGTGACCAATTAATTTGACTTGCAATGAATAAATGAATACCAATAAAATTTTCGATTCGTGACCTATGAATAATATGTGGTCTATAAAATTTTGATTTGTGATCAAAAAGTAATCTGTGACCTGTAAATTTTTTGATTTGTGACAAATAATTTTATAATTTGTGACTAATTGATTAGATAATTATGATCAAATTGTATATAATTGTGACATTAATATATTTAATTAATAAATTATATATTTAATAAATTATTTTATAAATAAAATTTAAAAAATCTGATTTTTGAAACATGAAACTCGTTTCCTTAGTTTTTGAAACAGGTGATACTTAACATTTTAGTTTTGAAATTTTCCCATGATTTTAAATAAGAAAAAATTCATGGGTCAGGGATTATCTTTAATGAAATCAAAAATCAGATCATAAGGTTTAAATTTACAAAACTCAGGTTTTTCCACAAATTAATTAATTATATTTTACAATTAATCTATAAAATTAAATATTTAACTGTAATATAATATAATTGACACACCCCACTCCACCCCACCTGCACCACCTCCACTGCTCCGGTGACTGTTCTCCGGCCGCGCTTAATTCCAGCGACTAATTTTCGGTGACCATTGGCCGCCACTTAATTCCGGTAATTGCTCCGATTCCAAGGTCACAGATATCTTATTAAGTAGTTAAACATTTAATTTTTGGTCACAATTTATCAAATTAATTGGTCACAAATTATTTTGAGATTACAAATGAAAAAAATTATAGGTCACAGATTTTTAATTGGTCACAAGTTACGAAAATTTATTGGTCACAAATTATATTTTTGGTCAAAGATTAACAAATTTTAAGGCCACAGTTAAATAGTTAGCCACAGATAACTATATAATTGGTCACATACACCCAAGCCCCTATCCCCCAATCCCACTACACCACCAATACTTGGTCACATATTGATATAGTTGGTCATATACACCCAAACACCCGTCTGTCCAATCCCAAAACACCACCAATACTTGGTTACAGATTGACCAAATAGTTGGTCACATAAACTCTTCGTCCCATTCGCCTGACGCCGCCATCACCACCAATACTTGGTCGACCAACAATAACACCATCGACAACCAACCACCACCAACAGCCACAAGCAGGGATTCGCCACACCACAACCGAGAAACCACCGCAAAATCACAACCAAAAAATCGCAACACCACCACCGAGCGAAGACCTCCACCACCGCATCGAAGACCCTCCACCACATACCCACTACTACGCCACCACAAAATCACAACAAAAAAAAGCAGTCTGCAGTTCATTCTTTGCTGGGCGAAGCCATCGCACACACCACCTTATCGAAGACCCACAACACCTCCACCGCCCGCCACAGCCACACAGCATCGCGACGCTGCACACCCACAGCAACATCACGCACCCATCAAAGATTTCTTCCCACCCTAAAGCATTTTACATGAAGCAGTGAAGGAAGAAAATAAATTTGTGCTTCCTTCCAAAACATTTTGAAACTACTGTGTGAGAAGAATAGATTATTGGGTCGTTTGGAAAAATGGTTAATAAAACTATTTGAGAGGTTTAAGATATTGGACATTGACAGTTGGTTCGAGATATTGGGCACTGGTCTTCCCAACTTGTCATTTTCTGAATACATGTTGAGCAAAGCGAAATAAAATCTTTATGCAAGAACTATCAACTCACATTTGGAAATTGTCTTGGATAATAATTGTGTGCTTCCAGGTAGCTGATTGACTTTTTATTTATTGCTTTTGTATCTGGCACTTGGAGGGTTGGAGGTGTCTTGGCCATGTCCCGTGCTTTTGGAAATCGCTTGCTGAAGCAGTTTGTTGTGGCTGAACTTGAGATTCGGGCAGTCTTATTTATTACTATTTTATTGCTTTTACTGTGGGTCGCAGCAACGTCTCATCACAGCAGCGTGACGCTGCTGATCTCAGCAGGGAGGGGGAGAGGGAGAGGGGGAGGGAGAGGAAAGGGGTGGCGTACGGTGGTGGTGGAAAGATGAGGGAGGGAGAGAGAAGGGAAGGAGGCGACGGTCGGTGGTGGTGGTGATGGTGGGAGGAGGAGGCGGCGGGCAGTTGTGGTGGGAGGAGAGAAATGGAGCAGGCAGCGTGTGGAGAGAGTGAGAGGGTGGAGAGAAATTGATAGATTTAGGGTTTGAATAGATTTAAGGTTTAATTTATTAAAATGATAAAAACCTGAAAAATGGAAAAATAAAATGAAAATCTGATTTTTTAAAAACTCGTACTAAACTCCTGTTTGAGCCTCATTTTTTCTCATTCCATTACATTAATTTTTTCTCTCTCTTCATCTCAATTACACATTCTCAAATAAAATAATATTACACACAAATCTAAAACTTTTCCACCACATACTTTCCCCTCAATCATTATTCTACAAATTTACAATTTAAAAAAATGGGGGTCAAACAGGATGTTTTGTAATTTTCCCTTTTATATGGTTACGGAAGCCCATAAAGAAGCCCGGTCCGTACTCCACGCGTTTCGTGCACAGATCAGTGTCTCCATCTATAAATAGTACTGAGATCCCCCAGCTCGCATTGTGGCCGACTCCTCTTCAAAGATTTATTTCTCAATTTCTTACTCTTTCAACTACTCATAAGTTAAATGAAAAATACCAAAAATAAGTAGAAATCTATATCGAACTTGAACACTTCTGCTGCAGCTGTTTATAGTATTTTGATTGGATTCTTGAATGAAATCCTAAAAACTCATCAGTCGGTGATTTAACGGTGAATATGGACTTACGCTTCCCTTATTCGCCGGCGGAGGTGGCCAAGGTCCGAATGGTCCAATTTGGCATCCTCAGTCCGGATGAAATCGTAAGTCCCTTTTCTCTAGGGTTTTTCTTTGACTTCCCCAAAATCTGTGTCGCTTTAATTATTGATTATCGAAATTTTATTTGGTTCCGGCAGAGGCAAATGTCTGTGGTTCACATAGAGCATAGTGAGACGATGGAAAGAGGTAAGCCCAAACCAGGGGGATTGAGTGACCCTCGTCTGGGGACCATTGATCGGAAGATGAAGTGCGAGACATGTATGGCGAACATGGCAGAGTGCCCTGGCCACTTTGGTCACCTTGAGCTTGCGAAACCCATGTTTCATATTGGCTTCTTGAAGCCCGTGCTCGGCCTCAGGCGATGTGTTTGCTTCAATGGCTCGAAAATATTAGCTGATGAGGTACGTTTGATCATGTTTCATATTGGCTTCTTGAAGACCGTGCTCAGCATCATGCGATGTGTTTGCTTCAATTGCTCGAAAATATTAGCTGATGAGGTACGTTTGATGTCCTGAATATTTTGACTTTGATGTATTGATTAGAGAATGACTGTGGTCTGTGAACTCCATTAAGTAATGATATTGAAGCAAGTGAAATTTTTATTCTGGAACTTTGATTATACCTACAAGGTTTGTGAATTGTGCTTCTCATTATAAGATCATTTATAACTTGATGATTTGATTACTGATTAGAGATTCATTTTAAATGCATCAAGTAACAACTATTAGATCATGTGAAATTTTGGTTATGGAGCCTTGATGTGAAAAGCTGAAGAAAGTTCTGTATTGGATGGGACCTTGCATGTTCAAAAAATTGTACAATCATCTCTATACATCCAGGGGTAATAAAATTGTTTAGTGCGGGCACAATTTAAAAGTCAAATCCTGAGATTTTTGCTGGGCTTCTCCAAGTCAGTGTTTGAATCCTCCTGTTACAAGAATAGCCCATGAACAATACTCATTCATTAGTTTAATCATTTTTCAAAATAATCCCTCAAGCTTTCCTCTGCCTCAGGCATAACTAGATTTCCAAAATCAAGGCAAATATTTAACCCGCACAGATTTTACATGATATATTTTTAGCAAAACATAAACCCCCTTTCTAAAGTGGCTTTAGCGAACCAAGAAACATCTGTGGTGGCAGGTTTTAGTGTATTGGAGTAGCCCCCTTTTAAATTTGATCTTTAATTGATTTAATATGGGAAAGAAATGGATCTAGTAACCCCATCGCTAATTTCTAAATATTTTTACCACCGAAGATCACAAGATTACACCTAATTTTTGCCAAATTTATTAATGAATAACAATGTCAAATTCAAATTCAAATTAAATTAAGGTCAATTTCGCGCTCGGTAGTGCTTTTTGGTCAAAAATAGGATTCTCGAGAAGAAAGATGAGAGAGAGAGAGAGAGGAGAGACATAAAGGCTGAGACAGTGAGGTATTAGGGTGGAGTCGCAACAGAGAGGAGTGAAATCTGTGGTTTGAACTTTGAAATTGAAATTGTCTTTTCCCTCTTACCTTTTTGGGCTGCTGAATTGAAATGCCCATGGTCAAAAAAATTAAAAAATGGATGAAAGTGATTTGGGTTGGGCCCAAAGTTCCTGGTCCTTATTGGGCTCCGCCCCTGTATACATCTACCTTGCTTTTGCATATACGAATGTGTAAAACAGAACTTTTTACACTACTACTCCTAGCTTGTATCTTGTGGAAGGAATAGGAGTATAAATCTTAGTGTTAATCTCTTATAGATTATATGGAGAAGGCTTGTGAGCTATGCTTCTCTTTAAGATCGACAATAACCACATATCCATTCATTTGTATTAAATACAATACCTAATGCAATGTCTATTGTAACTGAATCTTAGGTAATGCATCAAATTTGATCTGATATTTACATAAATGGTTCACCTTAGTTCTTCGTGTTAAGATTACTGCTATGTCCTTTGTGAACGGAAAAAAATTTATTCTTTAGCCACAGCATGATGATGGAATACACTAAGTATTGGACTTCATTAAGGAATGTCTTGTACTTCAAATGTTGTGTTGCCATTAATGATTTAGAAACAATAGTGTATTGAGTAAGGACCATACATCTTGCTGGGTCTCAATTACTTCAATCCAAATTTTGATTCAAGAAACTAATTGTTTTTACTTGGTCTTGTGGTGACTTACCATTTAGTAGGGTCAATCTGCAATCTTATTACTCTCACAATCTTCTTATTCCTTTTTGAGGTCCTTAACTTCTAGTTTCACTCTTTCCCTCTCAATATGCAAGAATCAACCGTTATCTCTTCTTTCATATTACCTATTGTTAAACAATAACCCATGAAAGAATTTTAGTCCCTCATTTTAATTTCAAGTGAGGAAGAAAGAGGGAATTTGTTGTGGACATGTGGTGGGTAGAGGAGTTCTGAAATCAAGCTTTGTCCCCGAATTGTTTGTATAATCATATAGAATCATTGATGGCTATTGTTTACTAAAAACAGTTGAGAGACTGGATTTTCCTGAGTTCCTTATTTGAATCTATATCTTGGCAGCATTCACACACTGAAGGAAGAGGAAGAGCTTCCCTTTTATTAACAAGATGATGAATAACAGTCAGTGAGGCTATGCGACGCATGTGAGGAGTTTAAGACAACTATTTCTGTTGAGATTAAATGTTGTTCATTTAGTCATACATCAAGTATGATGCAACTTGTACCAGACAACCATTTATGTTTAGGTATCATGAATGTCGATTACTCTTTTAAAATCTAGTTTTACAGTTTAACTCGTAAACAAATCCAGAGTAGTTAAAAACTTGTCAAGTGTTCCTTGTTAGATATCTCTAGCAATTATACTTCTGCAGTTGTGTGGTTTTCGATAAGAACCTTCACGCTTCCCCAGGTGCCTTGATTTCTTGAAATGCTTTGAAAGATATTTTAACTGCACAGGCACATGTATGTTAGTAGAATATTTAATGTATGGTTTTTAATCTCTTTTCAGGAGGAAACAAAGTTTAAACAAGCTATGAGAATAAGAAACCCTAAAAATAGACTCAAAAAGATATTAGATGCCTGCAAAAATAAAACCAAATGTGAAGGCGGTGATGAGATTAATGTACAAGGGCAAGATTTTGATGAACCAGTTAAGAAGGCAAGGGGTGGCTGTGGTGCTCAGCAGCCAAAAATTTCTATTGATGGCATGAAGATGATTGCCGAGTACAAGCAGTCAAAGAAGAAGAATGATGACCAGGACCAACTGCCCGAACTTGTTGAGCGAAAACAACAACTTACTGCCGAAAAGGTTATCTTGTTTTGCTTGCAAAATTCCATTTTGAGATATATGTTGATTGTCATGCTTCCAGTCTAGGTTTTGCTTGTTATGATGCTAATTAAGAGTAGTTTCTAATGGCTTGTTTTTCAGGTTCTTAGTGTCCTGAAGAGAATAAGCGATGAAGATTGTCTACTTTTAGGTTTGAATCCAAAATATGCTCGCCCCGATTGGATGATTCTTCAAGTTCTTCCTGTACCTCCTCCTCCTGTTAGACCTTATGTGATGATGGATACTTCTTCAAGGAGTGAGGCAAGCATCTTCTTATTGAACTCAATTTTTTCATCCAGTGTCTTCAATTTCTGCAGTACATTTTGGTTTCCCTTTGGTGTGAGGTTGCATTTATAAAACTTTGCAATGATACATAAATTTATGCTTCTGGGTCAAATGAGATGCTTATTGCTTGATCTCTTATTGCAGGATGATTTAACTCATCAGCTAGCCATGATCGTTAGGCATAATGAGAACCTGAAGAGGCAAGAGCGAAATGGGGCTCCTGCACACATCATTTCAGAGTTTGCACAACTATTGCAGTTTCATATAGCTACATATTTCGATAATGACCTGCCAGGGCAGCCAAGGGTGTGGTTATCTTCTCCCTTCACTTTCATACACCATATGACCTTCTTGATTGCCTTTTATGTAATTAGTGGGAGTACATTGGTATTCTGTAGGCTACTCAAAGATCAGGTAGACCAATCAAATCAATAGGTAGCAAACTGAAGGCAAAAGAAGGTAGGATCAGAGGTAACTTGATGGGCAAACGAGTGGATTTTTCAGCTCGGACAGTGATCACACCCGATCCGACTATTAACATTGATGAACTTGGAGTACCATGGAGTATTGCACTAAATCTCACGTATCCAGAAATTGTTACTCCATATAACATTGAAAGGTTTCCTTGTTTCATTTTGTTCTTTTGATTGTCTACCTTCCTGTACATTGGTTTACTCACTTCTTGAATACAGGTTGAAAGAGCTTGTGGAAAATGGGCCTCATCCTCCTCCAGGTAAAACTGGTGCAAAGTATATAATTAGGGATGATGGACAAAGGCTTGATCTACGGTACTTGAAGAAAAGCAGTGATCAACATCTAGAACTTGGATATAAGGTGATCATTGTTAACTCTATTAACAACAATGATCTAGGTTCAGATTTTTGAGTGCTTGTGCCTAAATGTATCGTCACTAATACAGGTGGAGCGGCATTTGAATGACGGGGACTTTGTCCTGTTCAATCGGCAACCGAGTCTCCACAAAATGTCAATAATGGGGCATCGAATAAAGATCATGCCTTACTCAACCTTCCGCCTAAACTTGTCTGTTACTTCGCCCTACAATGCTGATTTTGATGGGGATGAAATGAACATGCATGTTCCCCAGTCATTTGAAACTAGAGCTGAAGTTCTTGAACTGATGTTGGTTCCTAAATGCATTGTGTCACCTCAATCAAATCGGCATGTAATGGGGATTGTTCAAGATACACTTTTAGGGTGCCGCAAAATTACAAAAAGAGATACATTTATTGAGAAAGTAATCAAGTTGTACTTTGTTGTTTGTTAATTTACTTTTGTTTCCCCCTAGTGGGGTCTGAACCCTTTATGTTAATCTTATACAGGATGTTTTCATGAACATTTTGATGTGGTGGGAGGATTTTGATGGCAAAGTACCAGCTCCAGCAATTTTGAAACCTAGGCCACTTTGGACTGGAAAACAGGTTTTCAATCTAATAATTCCAAGACAGATAAATCTCTTGAGATATGCTGCATGGCATCAAGAATCTGAAAAATGATTCATTACTCCGGGGGACACTCAAGTTCGAATAGAGAAAGGAGAGTTACTTTCTGGCACCCTATGCAAGAAGACACTTGGGACTTCCACTGGAAGTCTTATACATGTTATTTGGTAATTGATAATGCTTTAGGTGTCGGGAGTGTTTATGAAAACTGTTTTTAATCTATGGATTCTCATTTTCAATGAATGCTCTTGAGCTTCTATTGAACAGATTCCCATCTTTGATCGAATGCCTTCTTGTGTTGCATATTACTTATTCCACACGTGATTAATTAATTGTATTAAGTTTTATATGTGAAAGCATATAAATGCTTTTCCAGGTATCCGATGCACTGAACCTATAGTTCTAGGACTTTTGACTCTGATTGAATGCATCTGAAATGGTTTGATATGCATTCACGACCTGCTCAAAGATATAGATCTTGTATGTTGAAGTGCGGAGTACTTTAACTTTCACATGTACATGTATCATGTTGATGCTGATATTATATGGTACATTCATGTATTTTAGCTGGAAAAATAGTTGTCAGCTAATCACAGCAAACACTTCTATCCAAAAAATATTTAGCCCCTGTTCGAGCCTATTCTATAAAAACTCATTTTTCTTCAAATTCATTTTCAACCACACATTCTCTCAATAAAATAATTTTACATGTAAACCCAAAAAATTTCTCTACCCTTTAACAACACATTCTCCAAAAAATCACTATTACAAAACCTATTCTACATAAAAATGGAGCTCAAACTAGCCCTTATTACATTCATGTAATATAGCTGCACTTGGGATACTAGCTAGTTAAATGTGCTTCTTTCTCGTGTTTGTATGTAATATTGCTAATGCACCAGGGAGGAAGTTGGTCCAGATGCTGCTCGGAAGTTTCTGGGACATACACAATGGCTGGTCAATTATTGGCTTTTGCAGAATGCTTTTAGCATTGGAATTGGAGATACAATTGCTGATGCTGCAACGATGGAGAAAATTAATGAAACTATTTCAAATGCAAAGAACGAGGTGAAGGAGCTTATCAGGTCTGCACAGGAAAAGCAGTTGGAGGCTGAACCTGGTCGAACAATGATGGAATCATTTGAAAACAGAGTGAATCAGGTACGTAAAAAGAATTCATATCTCTGCCTTTTATTTATTGATCCTGACATATTCTTTGTCCCCTTAGGTGTTGAATAAGGCCCGTGATGATGCTGGAAGCAGTGCACAGAAGAGCTTGTCGGAGAGTAACAATCTTAAGGCTATGGTCACTGCAGGATCTAAGGGAAGCTTTATAAACATATCACAAATGACTGCTTGTGTGGGGCAGCAGAATGTTGAAGGTAAACGAATTCCTTTTGGATTCATAGACCGGACATTGCCCCACTTCACTAAAGATGATTATGGTCCAGAGAGTCGTGGTTTTGTGGAGAACTCGTATTTAAGAGGGTTGACCCCCCAAGAGTTCTTCTTCCATGCTATGGGTGGTAGGGAAGGTCTGATAGATACTGCAGTGAAAACTTCTGAGACTGGATACATCCAGAGGCGATTGGTTAAGGCCATGGAGGATATCATGGTTAAGTATGATGGGACTGTGAGGAACTCTTTGGGGGATGTTATTCAGTTTCTTTACGGGGAAGATGGTATGGATTCTGTCTGGATTGAATCACAGCCACTGGAATCTTTGAAGTTGAAGAAATCAGATTTCAATAACATGTATAGATATGAGATAGATGATCCAGATTGGAATCCTAGTTACATGTTACCTGAAGCTGTGGAAGATCTAAAAACAATCCGTGAGATTAGAAGTGTGTTTGATGCAGAGGTTCAGAAACTTGAAGTGGATAGATACCAACTTGCGACCGAGATTGCGACAACAGGTGACAACTCTTGGCCCCTGCCTGTTAATATCAAGAGGCTTGTATTAAATGCACAAAAGACCTTTAAAGTTGACTTCAGAAGGCCTTCTGATATGCACCCAATGGAGATTGTGGAAGCTGTTGATAAGCTTCGAGAAAGGCTTAAGGTGGTGGTTGGTGATGATTATCTGAGTATGGAAGCTCAGAAGAATGCCACACTTTTTTTCAATATATTACTGCGCAGTGCCTTGGCCAGTAAGAGAGTCTTAAAGGAATATAGACTTACTCGTGAAGCTTTTGACTGGGTTGTTGGTGAGATAGAATCTCGCTTCTTACAGTCACTTGTAGCATCTGGGGAAATGATTGGTTGTGTTGCTGCACAATCAATTGGTGAGCCTGCGACTCAAATGACTCTTAACACTTTCCACTATGCTGGTGTGAGCGCCAAAAATGTTACTTTAGGTGTTCCGCGGTTGAGGGAGATCATTAATGTTGCTAAGAAAATAAAAACACCATCGCTGTCTGTATACTTGAAGCCTGAAGTCAGTAAAACAAAGGAGAGGGCCAAAAATGTCCAGTGTGCTCTAGAATACACTACTTTACGGAGTGTTACACAAGCTACAGAAGTATGGTATGACCCAGATCCCATGAGCACCATTATTGAGGAAGACGTTGGATTTGTGAAGTCCTATTATGAGATGCCCGATGAAGAGATTGACCCTGACAAGATCTCTCCCTGGTTGCTTCGAATAGAATTAAATCGAGAAATGATGGTGGATAAGAAGCTCAGCATGGCAGACATAGCAGAAAAGATTAATCTTGAATTTGATGACGATCTCACGTGCATATTTAATGATGATAATGCTGAGAAACTGATCCTCCGTATTCGTATTATGAATGATGAAGCTCCTAAGGGCGAGCTGCAGGATGAATCGGCCGAGGATGATGTATTCCTCAAAAAGATTGAAAGTAACATGTTGACAGAAATGGCCCTTCGAGGCATTCCAGATATTAATAAGGTGTTCATAAAAAACAGCAAACTGAATAAGTTCGACGAAACTGAAGGATTTAAGGCAGAGAATGAGTGGATGTTGGATACAGAAGGTGTTAATCTTTTGGCTGTCATATGTCATGATGATGTTGATGCGAGGAGGACCACAAGTAATCACTTGATTGAAGTTATCGAAGTTCTCGGAATTGAGGCAATTCGAAAAGCCTTGCTGGATGAGCTGCGTGTTGTCATATCTTTTGATGGATCTTATGTAAATTACAGGCATTTGGCGATATTGTGTGATACCATGACATATCGTGGTCACTTGATGGCCATCACTCGCCACGGGATTAATCGCAATGATACTGGGCCCATGATGAGATGCTCATTTGAAGAAACTGTTGACATTCTTCTGGATGCTGCTGTCTTTGCTGAAACAGATTACCTGAGGGGTGTCACTGAAAATATAATGTTAGGTCAGCTAGCACCGATTGGCACAGGAGACTGCGCCTTGTTGCTGAATGAGGAGATGTTGAAACAAGCCATTGAGATCCCTCTCCCAAGCTACATGGAAGGGGGCATGGATTTTGGCATGACTCCTGCCCGTTCACCACATTCTGGAACACCATATCACGATGGCATGATGTCTCCAAGTTATCTGCTCAGTCCAAGTCTGCGGTTATCTCCAGTTACAGATGCTCAATTTTCTCCTTATGCTGGTGGAATGGCTTTTTCTCCGACATCGTCTCCAGGCTACAGCCCATCATCTCCTGGATACAGTCCATCATCCCCTGGATATAGCCCCACTTCTCCTGGATATAGCCCCACTTCCCCTGGTTATAGTCCCACTTCCCCAACCTATAGTCCTAGTTCTCCTGGATATAGCCCAACAAGTCCTGCATATTCTCCTACCAGTCCATCGTATTCACCAACTTCTCCCAGTTACAGCCCAACGTCTCCTAGTTACAGCCCAACGTCACCAAGTTACAGCCCTACATCTCCTGCATACAGTCCGACTTCCCCAGCATACAGCCCGACCTCTCCCGCGTACAGTCCAACTTCTCCTTCGTACAACCCGACCTCTCCATCTTACAGTCCAACTTCTCCATCGTACAGTCCGACTTCTCCATCATACAGCCCCACCTCTCCATCCTATAGTCCAACTTCTCCGTCATATAGCCCTACCTCACCTGCATATAGCCCAACTTCTCCTGGATACAGTCCCACTTCCCCGAGCTACAGTCCTACCTCTCCAAGTTACAGCCCTACGTCACCGAGTTACAATCCCTCAGCCAGATACAGCCCTTCCCTGGCATATTCACCTACTAGTCCAAAGATCACACCTTCTAGTCCATACAGTCCCTCCTCTCCAAGTTACAGGTAATTTTGGTAAAGCATTTTGTAATTCTTGCTGTTTATTTTTGGCTGAATTGTGTTCATTCTAATTACTATGTGAAGCAACATAATATTAGCTAAAGGCGCGAGTCACTGCCGTTATCACAGATGGTTCATCATAAGTAGTTGGTTATATTATTAGAGTTCTTTGTTATGTCACTAAAGAATCTAGATTAATTCAAAATATTGCATCGCTTCTGCAATTTGACTCGAGAATTACATGGTTGAGTTTTTATCCTTTATTGCAGCCCAACATCGCCTTCATACTCTCCGACATCTCCGACATATTCTCCTTCTAGTCCAACATATAGTCCAAGCAGGTAAATTGATTATTACACTATTAGGGCTGCTTGAAAGAAGAAACACGATGAGTGCTTTGATGCAATGTGTGTAAATCTTACATTATTATTTGAATTTTCAGCCCATATAACTCCGGAGCAAGTCCAGACTACACTCCTAGTTCTCCACCATACAGGTGAGTGGCAGTACTGTGTTAGCTGATGGAATTTATCCCAAAATCAAACATTGCTATTTTAGCTATACTTGTTTGGTTCTAAGCTGTTCTCATTTTTTGTCATGTCTTCAGTCCAAGTGGAGGATACTCACCTAGTGCACCTGGGTATTCCCCGTCTACAACCAGCCAATACATTCCTCGTGTTAGTGAGAGAGACGACAAAAGTGTTCAGAATGAGAAGGGCCGCTGAACTGCATCATGTACCATAGACCGAGAAGGAGAACCAAGTTTCTAATCTTGATATCTCGACTTTTCTGCAGTGTTTTTGGAAGATCTTTGCCTTGTGGATCTGGTTTATCATGTACTGAATTTGATGTGATTGCACATTCTAAATTTGGTAGCGGGACATTTAACCATGGACATGGTTGTGCTTGAAACTGAAAGATTTGGTTGTCGATGTAATTATAAAAAATGTGAAAATAGAAAAATCGCAAGAGTCCATGTCGATATGAAAATTAAAGTTAAAACTGTTTAAAGGTACTGCTCAGAACGGAGTGTGTTTATGAGTAGGGCACCCGTTATTTTAATGTAGTTTTGTAGATATCTATACTCTAATGTGAATCCAAGCGTTTTTACTGCTCAACCAAGATTCAAGAATCGAAACACAATTTCAAATGAATCAGTCGAACCTTGCCAAGCACTTGCGAGCCATATCTACTCATTTGTTTTCGTGCATATTGCTATGATTACTGTGTTTGATCGAGCGACGCCGAATGCCATAACTTCTCGTTGTAATGCTTCAAGTCTAACAACTATGACTCGCCCCATTTGCATTGGGTCCTGTCGATATGTGGTATAATAAAGATGATGGAACATCAACGATGCGACGATCCATTCATTATAATGATAAATAATATTATTATTTTTTTACTTTTGAAATGAAAAATGCTTGGAAATTGGAATTATTTACTCCTTCCGTCCCAATTATATATGTTTGTTTCATTCTTCACACGGATTAAGAAAGTTTCTTTAATATCATTGGAAAATTAATTTTTGTCAAGATCTTTCTTAGTTTACCTCTATTTAATTTTCAGTATATAAAATTAAATTATTGTTGGAATTAATAAAGAATTTGAATAATGTAATTTGATGAGAGTTGTTTCATGTTTTCAAAAAGTGAGAAATGTGTGTATTTGGATGATTTCAAGAAATTGACATATTAAGTGGGGAAAATTTAATAAAAAGATATGTGTAAATGAATACAACAAAATGTTTACGTCAGGATATTTAGGACAAGAAAAAAAAACTCAGCACTGAGTGAGTATATATTTTTGACTGGATTAATTTCCACAATTTTTGAAACAAGAACCTGAAATCTCCATTCCTCTCGCGACCTGTAAAAATTTTCTGCTGTGTGTGAGAGAGAGCACGCACAACTAGTGAGATGACGATGATGGCAAGCTTCATCAGCATGTCATCCTTAACTTTCCATATCCCATTCCATGGAACCCCTCCTCTCTCTCCTCCACCTTCTCTATGTGCTACTCCGTTTCTTCCCCTGCTTAAGGTACCCTCTTTCTCTCTATGCGTGTGTACGGGCAATTATGAATACATCTACATGTGTACTTCGATGACTGAAGTTTTATATCATTCTTGAATTAATTAATTGTTAGAAGAGACGTGGGGTGCGCGAATTTAAGCTGCTTAGAGTGAATTGTTTATCGGATCAGAGTGAAGATGCCGCCGAGTCCAAACTCGAAACTCCATCGCCTTCTATGATTAGAGATGATTACCCGGAAAATACAGCATTCAAGTGGTGTGCAGCTCTTGGAGGCCTTGGATTTTTGGAGACTTCCTACTTGACCTACCTCAAGTTCACAAATTCTGAAGCCTTCTGTCCTGTCGGGGGCACTACTTGCACAACCATCCTCAACAGTGATTTCTCCGCAGTTTTCGGTACTCTCTTCATTGTCTTACTTAAAGGAGACGTTATAAGTTATACTTTTGAATGCCAGTGTTTTTGAATGATGCTTTTTGTAGAACTCACCTTAAAGCCCCCTTGTACCGGAAGGGTGCCCAAAGTGCTCATAAACTAATACCAACGTGGGATTTAGAAGTGATCGTTACACACGAATCAATAATTCAAGTTTTAACGGAATCGGGATTTCCACTCAACTTAGATCGGTCTTTTGTGTTTTCAATATCATCAATAAGAGGCAATTCAATTCACGGTAATAGAAGAAATGGAATTGCTTAAGGATATATGTATAGTTTTATAAGAATTAAGATTCTTTGGTAGTTTTACATTCAAGTTTACACTTGAGAGTGACAGCGGAGGATACTGGATATATTATTTTCCAGGTGCTAAATGGTATTGGCTGACATCAATTACTTTATGAATACTTTGAGCAATTAGAATTTCTTTTTAATCTTAAGTTTTTTAATTCCCTCTTGGTGATATTTATGTGAAGATTTATGATTCATAAGGCTTAGTTTGTGGTTTATCTATAGTTTAGCCTCCGTTTGGAAAGTTTATAAATTGTTTATATGGAAAGTTTATAAATTGTTTATAAATGGTCAAACTTCATTTTCAGCCACACATTCCAATGATCCTACAAGTACTATCCACTTATCCACCACTCATTTCTATATACTTATAAATTAAACAGTTCATAAATTTTCCCAAATGGAGGCTTAATTGTAATCATTGTCAACTCGTGTTGGTTGATACTTACGAACCTTAGAACCTGCGAACAAAAATGTTTTCCATTATAATATATGTAAATTAATAATGCAATGCAGCTAAGCATTTGGGAAATAATTTATTTTATCCTTTTTTTTTTGCCAGGTGTTCCTCTTCCATTGATAGGTATGCTGGCATATGGATTGGTTGCAACCCTCAGCCTACAATTAGGTGCAAAGGGCAGGCTTTTAAACATTGAAAGAAGCAATGCTCTGATGGTTTTAAGTGGGACAACTACCGCCATGGGCGTTGCAAGTGCATATTTTTTGTATATTCTGAGCACGAAATTTGCAGGAGAATCGTGTTTATATTGCTTGTCATCAATAGCATTATCTTTCAGCTTGTTCTTCATCACCTTAAAGGTCTTTTCCCTGGCAAGATTCTTAGCTTTTCATAGAGACAGAATACCGCTTTGTACTTTAGTAATGACAAGAAAGTTTTGAATTGCAGAGTTTGGGGTCTCAGGAGATTCAGAAAACAGTGGGTTTACAGTTCTGCATTGCTAGTTTGGTGGTTTTTGCTTTAAGCAGATCATACAATGCTGCCGAACCTATATCCACAAGGTAATATAGCAGTGCTGTGAAGTGGGATAGCCTCAAGCAAATTCTCACTTACTTAACTGACTGTTATTGCACAGAGTAATAAGGATTCTTCTGAGTTGGTAATCTTATATGCAAGTGGGGATATGAATATAGGATTTTGTTCGGAAATAAAAAAATTACTATCATAGTTGTAGATGAATAAAATAAAATAAAAAAATGGGGGAACATGTTAAGAAGCCCCGATTTTCTCATGAATAGAAGAAATAAAATCCTGGACTTTGTAAGAGAATTTTTCTTTTTCTTTCTTTTTACTTGGGTAATTTGTGAAGGAAATATTGCATTACGAATCACTGATATATTCATCACTGACAACTAAGGATGGGGAAAATCCATTAAAAAATCCAATCTGCTATCTCTTTTTGTGAATTTCAACCTCTTGAAAAAAGGATTAGATGTATTGTGTCGCTATTTTTGTATTTTAAACATATTGATCTTTCAGGTTCATTTGTTTGCAGGTTGCATAGTTTTTATTTTATACTTTTCGTGGGTCCAAGTTCATAGATTATGTTGAAATATGATAGATTGGAATGTTGAACAAGCAAATTCTTCAGTTAATTATGAGGTCACTTTTTTTGTTGATACACACAAGTGGAACCATTTTCATCTGCTTACCTTGGGATTGATTCTGCCACTTTGACCGAGTGATTAGACCTTAGTCAAGGAAGTTTCCTTTATACTCAAACTAATATTTGGGCACTTGAACAGATCCTCTGCATTGAACAAGATAAATAATGAATGTTTACAAGGATAGCAGTACTACTGTCCGTGATTAAAACATTATACGACTAGTGAAATAGTACATTTGCGAATCCCAAATCCTATAACTGAAGCAGGTGATTAGAATTATGGAGTTTTATTTATTTTTTATTTTCCCATTCAAAGTTAGGAGAGGGTTGTTAGGTCTACACTCCTAAAGCTGAATGTAGGGTTAGGCAACATGGAGGGGAACGTAAACCTACGAGGGAATGACAATCTGACATCTATGCTATGCACAAGATAGGAGAATTTATACAAGAAACAACTAACATATTCCCACCTTTATATGATGTAGCACATTCGAAAATTAGGAAAATCCCATTTATCAACTCTAACAAGCCCTGTAGTTTCTCCAGTTAGTTCATGTTATAATAGTGTTTTGAAGGTCTTTTCCTTGTATCCCATGTTTGCTAACCAATGCGCAGCAGAATCGCTCTCTCCAGATATGTGAAAATGAGATATCCATTTTCCATTTCTTCTGGTGGAAAGAGCAAGTGAAGAATCTTGGGTGCTCAAGTTGATGGAGAAATGAGCGGAGATGGAGGGAAATCTCTTGAAGAACACCTGCACATTTTTTCTATAAAAAATATACAAGGATAACAATTTTTAGGTCAAAAATATTTTTGAAACTTGGTTGTATTAGTTTTACTGATATTTTATCTCTTTTTAACTCTGGATATTTGGGCAAGGTTGAACTCATCAACCTAATAATAAACAGAACTCTCTGTAATCTGTGAAAATGTTAATTTTGTTACTATATTTTACTTTCGTTTCAGATTCTAGTTGAAGTAGACTTACTAATACTTAATCCCATTACGACAGTTGATTATTTAAGGTTTTGTTGAGCCTGGGTACATATTCAGGCCTTATTGCATATTGATAACAGTTCGATTTTAGAAACTTAACAGATGGTTTTGAATCCTACCTATTCCTTAGGAAATCTCTTTCTAATTTATTTACCATATTTTCAACAGGTTGAGTGAGACTGAAATACCATATTTTGCAACCGAGGTCAAAACAAAATCAAGTCCTTTGTCTCTTTCTCTTGCAAGACATCTACATTCAATTGGAGCAAAACTATACGGGGCTTTCTGGTGTTCACATTGTTTTGAACAGAAAGAGGTATTTCCTCTTTTTGCAGTTTCTTCTGATTGAACTTTTATATGGGGAGGTGCTAGAACCATAAATTTTTTGAGTAAAATGTGGTCTATATTTTCTTTTCTGTTACAATGAAGCTTGCAATCTTTATGTTCATGATAGCTTCGTAGAGATGTTGCAAAATCTTTTAGACCAAAAAAAGTGAAAAGAAAAGTAAATACACTTTTGTTTTTTTGCCTGACATAAGACAGATAGTTGTCACTAGGAAAATCTTGGTATGATTTATGGTCCATTTGGGAGTAATTTTAGAAAAGATCACTTGAGCAATGTTTTGTTTGAGAAAGTTTTTTCACTATCTTGTGACATGTTGGCACAATTGTCGGATGATTAAAAACACGTTATTTGCCCCACTTCTGGATTTTTTGGTAATATTTTATGTTATATTTAATTGGAAATATAGAAAATCATCTACTGAGTGATGTTTGTATTTGACACCCCATGTTTTCCTTGTTCAAAAACATTTCTGCAATGGGAAAAAACTAATATTTTTTTTGTTATCTGACTTGTCGTCCCTATGAGGAAAACAAATGTAATGGACATTCCATCAAAGACTTACCCAAATTATGCATTTACTATAGATATTAGAATTAAGAAATAGACCAGGATTTGTTTGATTCAATTTTGATTTATTTCTTTCCATTTCAAATTAGAAAATGTTTCACCTTGTTATTTTGGTTAACATTCAATGTCTCAGATTTGAAGTTTAAATAGGACTATGCAGACTATAGATATAACTATTGAGTGATATTAAAATCTCTCCTTGCACTTATTCTTTTTCTCGTCTCTCTTCTTTGGCTTTCCCATTCTCCATCAAATGTCAGTAAGAATATTGCTCCAAAAGATGAGTGTTCTATACAGTCCATTAATATCTAAGCTATAGAACGTGAAAATTTTCGCAACTGGACCCTAAATTTTGGCAATTTTCTAAGCTCACTGAACGTGAAAGTTTCTGTGTTTTTTAAATAACAGGTAACTTCAGCTTAAACTATATATTACTACTGTTGCATAAAGAAAAATGTATATAGTAGATATTAAACAAATTCGACATGAAATTCTTAGAATTTTACTCTCATTATTCTGACTCTTTTACACAATGTTTTAATGATCAAAATTTTCTCCGATTTTATATTTCAAAAATTACAAAATGGGGCTTTTGTGTCCTTGATGTGTTGAAGGCGTTTCTCGAGGCATCCACATCGTGTATCCAACACGTGCTTGAGGCATCTGGGAAGTGTCCTTTGGGTGTTGAAAATTTGAATTAGTATACAAAATGTAGGGCACACCATGTGGCTTGTTGTACACGTGTTTTGGAGCGTCCAAGGAGTGTGACTGTCGAATATGGATATTCCTTAGGAGTGTCCGTGCTTGTGATGTCACACATAGTTTCTCATCTCTTCTAAGATATGCTTCATAGGTATTGCGGTGTTGACTATTATCATGTCTATGTCTCTCTCCTCTCAGCCCATGATGTAAATTCATTATCCTAAATGTTTGCTTAATTGATTAATATTATCCCTGTGGCATTCTTCTTAGGAGTTTTGTCCCAAAGGAAATATCTAAATATTACAAACATGAAATCCTTTCCCCCTCCCCCACCCATGTGTGCTTGAGAGAGGGAGGAAATTTCAGATTAAGTACTTATTTTTGTTTGTGGATGCATGAATCGCTATTGGTACAGATGTTTGGGCGTGAAGCAGCAAAATTATTGGACTATGTTGAATGCTTCCCCGATGGAGTAAAAGAAGGAACTAAAATGGCCGAGGCTTGTACAGAAGTTAAAATTGAAGGATTCCCAACATGGGTGATAAATGGTCAGGTATGCAAGCTCTTCATGGCAGTCTGTATTTTTTTCTCTCCTTATAATAAGTGATCATGGAGTTCACATTATAGAAAGTTCGTGTTTTTTTCAGATTTATCTCTCTCTACAATTTAACCTTCGAAGATCCTACTTTATTTTAAAATGGCTCTAGCCTCTAGCCTCTATGCCTACCAGCATAATTGGTTACTGGTGATTCTATAAATGCTCTTTCGCCCATGTTTTGACAAGAATTGAGCATGTTTGGAAAAGCTCAAAAACAAGTAAAAAAGTGTTACTTAAGTAAACCTTCTGTTCCAAGCATGCTTTAGTATGTTACTTCTTTTACATTTTTATTTTTTTTTTGGTTATATTTCTGATTTTGATCATGACAACAACAATAAGCTTTTTCCCAATTAATTTGGGAGTGTATGAATCCTTATTTGCCATTTCAAATATGCTCATCTAGAGACTATATCCTTAGCAATTACGGCAGGCCATTCTAAATTCGAAAGATAAAAAAATTATTTATTTTAAAAACTTGTTTACTAAAGTAAATTTTTAAAGCTTAGCCAACCATGCTTTGTGCAGCCTTGCTCTTTGTTACTTGCACATTAAGATGTGTCGTTATACATATACTTAGCAAAGAAAAGAGCTTGACGTGGCTTGAACATGGTAATAAATTTATATACTGCACCATTTTGTGACAATTGGTTTGCTTGAATTGCACTTGTTGCAGGTTTTGAGTGGAGAGAAGGACTTCTCTGAACTTGCTCAATTATCTGGAACCAAACTCGAAGATATAAGTCAATCCAAGTAAGATGGCCTTTTTCGCACTTGTATCAGCTTTGTTCTCGTCTTTTAAAGCTGATGATGATATTCGGAAGAGATTTTGGCTGTTGTAATATTCTCAATTAGCCTCGTAGGAAGGTTTTGGGAGGTGTTCATTGTACTCGTCTTTCATTTAAAATGGGAATCCACTCGAGCCCAGTCTGCCAGAATAATATCAATGCTAGGTTGATTAGAATACAACTGAATCTAAACTTGTTTTGAATACAATGAGACCGTGTTTAAATGAATTGGAATATACCTAGTCTCTTTATGGTTGTTTAGTATGTTTAGTATGTTAGACTGGACAATAATGTAACTTCGTAATATTTCTTCATTGATGTCATGCAACGTTTTATGATTTTTAATATCTAACTTAACTAGGATGAGAATTTGCTAATTATTGAAGGATCATTATCGAATAAGTGTGGAACATCCACTAGTTGTAGTCTTGAACTTAAAATGTGATTGGTCATTGTTCACACTTAATAATTAAGTTGTCGACGCCAAGTCCTTGTGTGTCCCATTTCTAAAACTCATTTTTTCTTAAATTCATTTTCAATCATACAGTTTCTCACAAAAATGATTTTGTACATGGATTCTAATGTTTTTCGTATTTTACAATCACACAATTTAAAAAAAAAAAAAATATTTTTCACACAATCTATTCTAGAAAATCTCTAAATAGAGGCTTAGTTTATCGATGAGGATTTTATCTAGAATACACACTTAGAGCTTGTTTGGTATAATTCATAATCAAATTAAAATTGAAAATATAGTCGTTATTGAGTCTCACTCGTCTAATAAAAGTCAATCATAACGGCTAATTTTTCAATTTTAATTCGATTTTAATCTCTACCGAACACGTCCTTATTGTCAAACTAAAGGAACGACTTTTGTTCACGCATTATGGAACAAATAGTACACAATCAAGTAGACAAGAGTCTTATCATACACGAGTTTGATGGAGATTAAAATTAGATTTTCAATAGATTTGACAAATATCGAGAAAAAGTTGTGGATTTTATAAAATATGTAATTACAATTAATTATTAACTTTGATTTATATTAAAATTTACATCTTAATCCTTCACAAACTAAGATACTCTACCGAGCCGAGGCTATATAGAACGATTATTTTTATCTCTTTCCTTGTTATGAATGTGAGGCACGTGATTGGTACGAATTTAAAACTTTGTCATTTGTGACTGCCAATTGTTGGTATTTTGTTCTATAAGCTAAACCCCTATTTAGTAAAAATTCAAATTCAAATTTCAATCTAAGTCAAGTTAACAACTACTTTTAACTTTACATTTTATGGGATTCACAACCTTTCAATTACATATTTCATCAACTTTTATCAAAATTTACTAAAATTTTAATTTTAATTCCCACCAAACAGTGGCTAAAAATAATTAGAATATTATTAGTGATATTCCCTCTTGTTAGTTGACTTTTTTGACAAAGTTTTTTTATAAGAATTTTAACAGATTTTTATAAAAGTTGATAAAACCTGTAGTTAAAAAATGAATAAAAGTTGTGGTTAAAATTAAAGTTACATCAATTGAAAAGTTTATAAAATTTTATCAAATAAGCATTAAATCAACAACAAACCGAGCTCTGAGATTTATCAAAACTTTAGTACAATCAAATTTGACGACTATGTCGCAACTTTCATTGTCTCCATTATCATCGGCTAAACGATGATAATGGTGATATTGAAATAAATAATGCACCACTAGAAATTTTCGGTGTCTCGCTTCGTATTAGATCCTCTCAAACATGTTATGTCATCGACCAACTTTTTACAAGAATAGTCGAGCTGAATAAGTGAGATATTTGCTTTTCACTTTCGAATTTGACATTTTAGCAATTGGTTATTAGTCGACTTAGTCAGTTTAGAGAAAGAGAAAAGGTTGTTCTTTCTTTTCTTTTCTTTTTCTAGTAAGAAAGTGACTAATGGTTATGAGCATCTCGAACCAAAGAAAGTCAGTGCTTCAAGGTTGAGGATAGTCGCCTTTAAACATAGGGCTTGTGACTTTGTCAATCATTTTTTTATTAATATAAAAGATCAGATCATACTATTGATTATAATAAGGATGCATTTAATTGCTAACATGAAATTTGTATAAAAAGAAAATAAATTTTAAGAAATTCATTTGCCTAGAAATTATTTGTATGACATTTATTAATTAAATGTGTTAAATTGAATTAACTTTCGACCTAAAAAATATTATACCTGTTAATTTTTTATTGTTGGGTAGATGAGAGATGGGGGGTTAGATAAGCGAGAAAGGGAGACTGAATTATCTCGAAAATAAAAAACATATCTTTCTAAAGAAATATTTTTTCTTATTTTCAAAAGAAAAATATAATCACTCGATCGGAAGTATGAAAATATTTTTCATAAAAAAATTGTCTATGAAAATATTTTTCATAAAAAAATTGTCAAATAGTACAAAAGTAGAAAAATAGGTGGAAAAATATATTTTCCGTGGGAAATATTGATAATGAAGAGCTCGAGAAAATAATTTAATCAACCAATTAATCACAAAACAACTCTCCCCTTAACAAATCCTCCCCAACTAGTCCACTGGCGACTGGTTGGATTAACCCCGACACGCTCTTGTAGGACCTGCTGCCCCCATCCTGGTGCAAATGCACTGCAGAAATCCGGGTCCAGACAATTTTTAAATCGTTCTCTGTAATTCTTCCTAGTTTCGCAGGGTTTCAACTCTCCTTGAGTCCTGCTGTATCTCGGAAAGCAGTGAAAAAAATTGAAGTTGTTTTTATATTTATGCATCTTAATCAGGTAGTGATTACAATTGTGTTGAGTGATGAATTTGTGAGAAAATAATGAGTGTATACTGCGGTGGCTTCCTCCGTGACACATGGGCTGGTGCCACTGATCGTTGCTTCCGCTTTTTTCCGTGTCTTTCTGATCCGGGTACTGTTTACTTGTTTGTGTTGACGCGTTCTTATATTTACGATAAGGTAAGTTGCTTTTTCTTTTGTATTGATATTTCTCCTTTCAATCTATTGCAGCTCGGAGGTCTACTTTATTTTTGAAGGTGGCTTTGGTGACGCTCCATCTGATTTTTCTCGGGGTTTTATTTGCTTTTGATAAGGATTTGATTGGCAGAGCCGGAGAAGACCCATGGTATTGTTTTTAATTATTCTCTCTAAATTGCTGTGTATTAATGTGGATTTTAAATTGATTTTTTTTCTTTTTATCGATTGCATTTAGTTGATGATTTCAAATCTGATATCATTAGTAGAAGGTTTTTACACTGGCAACGGTAAAGACAGCTTTTTTATATTTAGAGTTGATGGGAGAACACAGCAACCACAAATATCCGACACCATATTTGGGACTATGCAATGGAATGAATAATTCTCTCCGTGTATCGAATAGAGCAAATGCACAATAATATATCAAACCTAATCTACAAAAGTTTTGTCTTTCTCAGCCATCAGTAAAAACCATGGGACCGTACACCCAAATTCTCCATAATATTAACCATGGGAAGGCTCAAAAACAACATCAAGAATACAATATCTTTGCACGCCAACAATATCTCATTATCTAACAAAGATCGTAACAAAAATAAAATAAAAGTAGATATAGCTATATCTCGCCAAATGAGAATCAATAATGGAAAGCCAAACCGGTATATGTATAAAGCACCTTGTTACGAATTGCCACCTGAAATCTGAGCCAAAATGAACGAGGTTTCTCTACTAAATCGTTTAGTACCAGCAACCTACAGGTTTTTTTCTGTCATTGTGTTTATTTTCATTTTTGAATTCAAATAATACTGATTTAGCACTCTTCACCTTTTGTGCTAATTTTGTTTATTCAAAATTCATTCCAAATGTGAAACAAGAAAGGTAATCATTTAAACATGCCAATTTACACTAGTCTGGGGAAATGCCTTTATCTTTATTTTGTTTTTGTCCACATTATCCCAACAAATCTCCCTCCACCTCATGTAGTGGAAGGAATTACCATCCTGGCAATGGAACAACGAACATCAAGTTTTTCCATGAAAAAAACCTTTGCCATCGTGTTAGAGTCATGCTGATTGTCAGATCTACATTAGTGGTCAAAAACACATTTAAAATAATGGCATTTTTTTATACAAATTTTTTGAGCAGTGAACATTTTAAAAGGATCGAAAATTAGCCAAAAAACAAAAAGTAGATGACGAAGTGGCATTTTCAGTGTACAAAGCAAAAAATAGAACGGAGAAGAGGAAGAAAAACAGTGGGTTAGTGTTTGCTAAATGATTCAGTGGCCAAACATTGACCATTTTGGCTCAAATTTCTTGTAATGATTCCTAGCAAGGTGCTTTTAACATCTACCGGTTTAGTTTTTAATTATTGTCTCTCATTTGATGAGATATATCCATCTCTATTGATCAATGTTATGAAAATCGTCCTAGCCGGTTCGACTGGAAAAATCGAGAACCAGTCGGCGATCGGTTCGCTTGTAGCTTGGTTACAGTAATACAAAATCCAGTAAAATGATCAGTTCGACAGGAACCAATGAAATGAACACAATTTTGTCGAGTTTTTTGACAAGCTTACCGAAAAGGGAAAAAAATGGAAAGAAGCATAGAAAAAGATATGTCGATAATGTTTCTCTAACTTGCCCAAGTCATGTGAAAGACCATCGATTAATTCATATGTGCATATATATGCAGAAGAAGCTGCAAGTAAAAATGAGAACGAAGAATCAACATTGTTGTCTCCAACTTTTCTTGTGGAGTTCTGACTTGTGAGATGGTATAAGTTTCTAGGCTTACAAACTTATTGGGCCTATTTATTTCTATTTTGTTACCTTCTTTGGACCCATTTAGTTTTAATGTGATGAAATGGTTATTAAAAAACAATTAACAAATGTTAAAAACTTAGAATACTCTTAAACTTAATATTAATTTTTTAATAGTATATACCTACACAAGATTTTATTTATTTAATTAATCTAAT